AGAAAATACAATGAAGTCTTAATATCCTTAATATGTAAAGAATTCTTATGTCAATGCATTTATCTTGCAGTTAACAAAAGCGCCTTGGACAGCTACTATTAGCTAGGTTGATGATGCGGACACAGCACAAAACACAACAGCCACTATTATGGAAACCTGTTGTCTCACAAGGGAGATAGACAGTAAATTAAATAAATAAGTAAAAACATATAACCCAGCAGATGATAGTAAGTGGAGTATGAGAAAATGAAGTGAGAAGCAGGATACGGACTTCCAGGAGCGAAGAGATGACAACTGGTAACTGAGAGCAGGTCTCCTGGGAAGACGGCATATGAGCTACGACCTGAAGAAGGTGAGAGTGAGCCATGGGGTCATTTGCATGTCTGGCAGAGGGAGTGGCCAGGAGGTGGCAGCTAGCCCAGTATGTTCAAGGGGAGCCGAGGAGACCAGCCAGTGAAGACACAGAGGATGAGAAAGGAGTGGGAAGAGATGACATCACAGGGGTAGCAGGGTGGAACCACATCCTGGAGGGTCTTAGCATCCACAGTGAGAACTTTGCCTTTTATGATGTAGAAGGTGGGAAGCCATTGGAGGTTTTGAGCAGGGGAAACAGGCCAAGTAAATGGAAAGGAAAACTATGATCTGAATTAACACGTTATCAAGATCATTTTGGTTGCTGTTTAAAAAGAGGAAATAGGTTGAAAGTCTTGCAAGACTGCAGTAGAAGCAGGGTTTTTTGTTTTGCTCGTTGTGTTTTTATTTTGCAGGGGTGAGCAGGGGGTGGTGACAAAGGTCAGCAGCTTGCTTTTGGACATGTTGAATTTAAGATGCCCAAGAGATATCCAAGTAGAGTTGTCAGCAGCCAAGTTGGACACCTAAAGTCTATGGTTCCAGGGAGAGTTCTAGGCTGCAGTTCTCACTACGGGAGTCGTTGGCATAAAGACAGTATTTACAGCCCAGGAGATGCAATAAAGTCAGTAAGGGGGTGAGTAGAGACAGAAAGGGGAAGACAGTAAGAGCCAACTTGGAATCAATCCAGCACTGAAGACTTGGGTCATGAGGAAGAATCAGCAAAGGAGACGAAGTCGGGACCAATAAGGAAGGAGGAAAACCAGGTTTAGGCTCCAGAAGTGAAGTGAGGAGTCCCCGGGGCCAAGTGTCCTTGATGAGAAAGGCAGGTGAGGACTGATCACTGGTTACACCTAATGATCTGATTTACTTGGCCTGTTATCCCTCAGTTTCTCAGCTCCCTTCTTTAGTATATAGCTAAACTCATTATTATTATTATTATTTGCATCCCTCTCCCTCCTCTCAGCCAGCATTTCCACTTCTATGCCTCTTCTAATGGAAACTGCACATGCTTTCACCACCTGTTCCCTGCACCAATGCGACCAAAGGCCCACATCCAGTCGCCTAATGCAGAAACCTCTTCATAGAGGGAGGGGAATTACAAGGAGAGCGAAGGCTGTGAATTTTGTTAACTATATATTTTTTAAAACACTTTTTTCGTGTTTGTTGACTAAAAATAAAACCGTTCAAATGCACTAACTATCAAAGACATACAGATTAAAAATAAACTGGCCACCATTTTTTTTTGCAAATCAAATTGGCATTTAAAAAAACATAGCCCGTATGGGCAAGACTCAGCAGACATTCTCATATACTACTGGTGGAAGTGTTAATTGGTAAAACTTTTCTACAGGGCAATTTGGCAATATATAAGAATAATTTTTTTAAAGATCCTTCTTCACACCTTTTGGTCCAGTAATTCTGCTTCTAGCAATTTATTGTAAGGAAATAATCAGAATGCAAACCAAGATTTCTATAAAAGGATGTTCACTTAAGTGTTCTTATAAAATTTAGGATATAGAATTCTATAAAATTCTATATTCTGGTAGAATACAAAAACAATACCTTAGTGTTGTTTCTTATAGATTTATGGATTTTATAAGGATTAAATAGGCAATTAAAATAATTTAATATCTAGCACTGGAGCTTGAGTTGACAAATTACAATACAGTCACAAAAGAAATACTCTGCAGCAAGAGAATATTGAGAAGATATGAGAACATGTCGACAAGGTACTGAAATCAAAACAAAAATAAAAAATAAAATTTTAAGAAGTAAAAGAGCTACAAAATGATATTTATGGTATTATCCTAATTTTGTAAAAAAAGTTAGAAAAATCAAAGCGATGACAACTAATATCTTAATAGTAATTATTTGCATACTTACTTGAGATTACTGGAGTTTTTACCCATTCAAAAATATTTACTGAGGATCTACCATGTGACAGGCACTTGGGATGGAGTGTGCTTGGTTTACTTTAGTGAAATCTGACAGAATTTGGGTTTTTGCCGTGCTTACATTCTACCAGGAAGGATGGTGACAATAAACAATAATAAATAAAGGAAGTATATGTCTTTTAGGAAGTGGTAAGTGCTACAGCAAAAACACAAAGCAGAAAAAATGGGATCAGGAGTGGTATGGCTACCATTTTAAACAGGAGAGGTGGCATTTTGGCAGACTTTATGGAGGTGAAGGAATTAGCCATGTGAATAATGGGGGGAAAGTATTCCACATAGGAGGATAAGCAAATGCAAAGGCTCTAAGGTGGTTGGATGTGCCTGAAAATCAGCAAGGATGCCTATCTGGCTAGAGCTGAATGAACACGGTCATAGGAAATGAGGAGCCAGACTGGACAGAATTTACCAGAAAGCTTTGGGAATGCTGGGAATAGGTTAAGAAGGTACTGCAGTAATCGAGATTCGAGATGAGAGATGACAGTGTTGGGAACAAGGGAGAACAGCAAATATAATGAGAATTGGACAGATTCTGGGTATAATTCAAAAGTAGAACAACAGAATTTCTTGATGGTTTAGATATGGGGACAAAGAAAGAAGGGCCTCCAAGGTTTGGGGCCTGAATGATCGGGAGGACAACGTTATCATCAACTGAGATGGAAAGACTACGAGTAGCGCAGATTTGGGGGGGAAGTGGGTGAGATGAGGAGTTGGTAAGTCTCTTCAAGGGGGGATGCCCAGGAGGCCGCTGGCTATAAAAATACAGAGTTCCCAGAACATGTGTGAGCTAGATGATAATACCTTTGAGAATCATTTGCATACAGATGGCATCTGAAGCTAAGGAATGGGTGAGCTCACCAAGTCAATAACTGTGGACAAAGAGGAGGTCCAAGACTGTGTCCTGGGGCACTCCAACGTCAGGAGGTGAAACAGACGTGTAACAACCAGGGCGAGACTGGTTGAGAAAGTGACCAGTGAGGCAGGAGAGAAATTAAAAGATGGTGGGGCATTTCAAATGCTGCTCAAATGTACATAATGGGTTAAATAAGCTGACAAGGGAGGATGGACCACTGTATTTAGCAACGTGGAGGTCAGCACACTGGTGGACCCTGGTAAGGGCCATCATGGAGGAACGTCTTAAGACAGAAATTGAAGGAAAGAGTTGGAGACTGGGAGGACAGACAATGCTTTTTGAGGAATTTTGCTGCAAAGGGGCTAAGAGAGATGGGTGGTAGCTAACTGGGGAAGTGAGAGATAAAAAAGGTTATTTTTTTCTTTTGAGATGGAATAAATAGCAGTATATTTGTATGCTGATGGTAAGCCTAGCCAATCCACTGTGATCATTAACATTCATTCTCAAGGTACTAAGATGGCAGCAGATGGTACAGTTGGGGAGTCACGGAGGACTGCCAGGACAACGTGCTCCCGCGCTACCCCATCAGGGACAGTAATCTGGTCGATTCTGTTACCTGAAATCCCTGCTTCTCCAACCTCGTCACTGACTCAGGAGGTTTACAGTTAAAATATAAACATTTCAGGTCAGCATGACCTCACAGAACAATGATCATAATTAAGGTCTCCCCCATCACACACCAAGAGGCTTTCACTCCCATTAGGAAGCATGTGGCTTGGGAGTTTCAAAATTACAGATTGAGCAGAAACCATAAAATGCAAATCTGTGCGAGGAAAGTCTATTTTACAAGAAAAAAAAAAAAGAGAGAGAAAGAAAAAATTTCAGCCCTTTGACCCTACTCTTCAAAGAACTTGTAACCTGGGAAACCAAAGTACCTCCCAGCTCCTGCTTCTTCACCAAGAGACAGGATTACAAAGAGAAAAAATCCAGAAATCAACTGTGGTTGTCTCTGCGTTGGAAGGCTCTGCATACGTCAGCTGGAACTCAAAGCTTACATTTTAGCAACCCTCCTCACCCATCTGCCAACGCATGCCTGTCCTCCTACACACCTAACGTCCCCACTCGGATGCTATCTGTTCCGTTTCTCCCTCCCATGGGTCCAATATCATCATTCTCCTTCCTTCTTTCTCCTTATAAAAACCAGTGCTCAAAAAAGAATGCCAGACAGAATTTTGGTTTAGAACTGGCGGGGGTTTTGTTTTGTATTAGTTCTCGTTTTACAAATGAAGAAACCGAGCCTCAAAAGGTGAAGTGAACTGTCCAAAGGCCAATAGCCCATTAGTGCAAAAACTCCCCAAAAATTTTTTGATCGATTCATTGACATCAAGATGTACTGATTCCCCTGTCCTCTGACCAAGGTCCGTTCTAACAGAAGCCATAGCCCTGAGCCCAAGGAATGGATGGTGGAAAGGGGGAAGCGAGGGGCAGCAGTAGGGGGAGGATGCTGTCATTCCAGCAACAGGCGGTCTTCTGGATGGTTGATGGCGCGTAAGAAGCTCCCTGGTTTGTCCACTCCAGTGGTTCTCAACAGGGGATGATTTTATGTGCCCCTTCCCCTGCCGGGCACAGTCGGCAGTGTCTGGAGACATTTTGAGCTGTCACAACTAGGGGAAACACACTACTGGCATCTAGTTCGTTGAAGCCAAGGGTGTTGCTAAACATCCTACAGTGCACAGCACCCCATCCCCACCCCCACCAATTATATAACCCCAAATGGCAAACCCAAACCAAAAACTCTGGCTTACTCTAAAGGAAAAAGGATGGAAGAGAGAAGAGAACATTACCAAAAGTTGGCTCTGGAGTAGTGTTCCATGTAGAGCTGTTCATCAGAAAAGGGGGCCAAATGGATGTCGCCGAATGTTGGGAACATCATTCCTAATGAGCAAAAGACAACAGACCCAGACGTTGACTAGCACTGCCTTCTGACTATAGGTACACTCACCCACCACATGACCAACTCCACGCTTTCGTCCTATTTCAATTATTACCCAAGAGGCTGAAATATAATTTTGCCTCAAAGCAAGGATAAAAAAAATTAGGCAGAAGATTGGAGGAAATATAAACAGGAATCCTAATGCAAGTCACAAAACTGTTATGATAAAAGCTTGTGCAATGGAGTATTATGCAGCCATCAAAAAGAATGAAATCTTGCAATTTGCCCAACGACATGGACAGAACTAGAGGGTATTATGCTAAGCGAAATAAGTCAATCAGCGAAAGACATGTATCATATGATCTCACTGATATGAGGAATTCTTAATCTCAGGAAACAAATTGAGGGTTGCTGGAGTGGAGGGGGGTGGGAGGGATGGGGTGGCTGGGTGATGGACACTGGGGAGGGGATGTGCTATGGTGAGCACTGTGAATGGTGTAAGACTGATGAATCACAGACCTATACCCCTGAAACAAATAACATTATGTTAATTAAAAAAAAAAAAAAAAAAAGCTTGTGGAGTCTTAGGTGAGGCTTTTAACCTGGCATCTTGCCTTCTCTGCTGTCGGCTTTTTCGTTTCTGTATGCCCTGTGCTGGGAATCCTGTGCACTTCCTTCATTTAAAAAAAAAATCTTATTTATTGTAAAAACATCTCTGAAAATCATTTACCTCCCATCATTCTATCACATCATTATTTCCATTCTCAGACTTTGTCCACATATAATCATGTTGACTATCTTTTTAAGTGCTGTTAGGAGCTGTGCTTCTCTAGGGGTTCACCGTCCTCCTTGCTGGGACACCCACTCTTGTGTTTTGTTCCTGATATTTACAGTCACCGCGGGAAAGGAAAGGCAGATTCTTTAGTGGGCAGACAAACACCTAGACTGACATGCCTGAAGCCCAGCCTTCCTGAGCGGGCAGACACAGCGAGCAACAGTATTATTCTTGTCGTTTCTAGGGAGACTCTTTCTCACAGTCATTTATGATCCCGCACATAAAAGAAAGATGAACTACTAACCCTCTTTCAGAAGTGAGTATCACCTTAGAAACTGGATATGCTGTCATAAAAATAATACCTAAAATTTCTTGATTATGTTAACTCTGCCATGAACTTCTCTATGAGTTTTCCATGTATTAATTCATTTAATCCTCATCACAACATAAAGTAGATTCTATTATTACATCCCCACTTTATAAATGAGCCAACTAAGGAACAGGGAAATTTAAGTGACTCAGCCAGAGTCATAGAGCTAGTAAGTAGAAGGGCAAATCCAGGGGCAGAATCTCATCTGTGAGGCCATGGCCCCATACTTTAACTATGCTCCCTTCAATGCCTGTTAAAATAAAACAGATTTTTTTTTAAGATTTATTTATTTATTTATTTGAAAGAGAGAGAGATCACAAGCGGGGGGTAGGGGGAGAGGGAGAAGCAGACTCCCTGCTGAGCAGGGAGCCCGATGCGACTGAGCCACCCAAGTGCCCAGAACAGATTGTTTTATTTAGGGTATTTTCAGAGGCAATCAGAAAAAGCATGGTTGTAACGTCATTCATACGTGCCCACCTAAATCTCATGCTCTGGTGTCAAAACAACAATGCGTGCTTAGTGGGTTCTCAATTTTAAGACAGAAGGATATTAAACAACCTTAGGAAAGCAGTATGTATCACTAACTGTGTAAACTTGGGAAGCTTCAGAGGTGCTCTGAGCCTCAATCTTAATGGGAATTCCAAAGATATAAATTGGAGGGGAGGAAGTCATCAAAGGTGAAAATACAAGAAAAATTCTCAGAGTCGAAGAAGATGAGTCTTCTGATTAAACATTCTCACTCCACGCCCAACACAAGAATTTTAAAAGCTTCACAGTAAGAAGGCTAGAAATAAAGCAAGATACTGAAAGCATCCAGAGGGGAAAACGCTGTCACTCTGAAGGATCAGGAGTCAGAAGGTCATCGGACTGCTCAACAGCAACAACGGAACCAGAAATCAAAAAGAGAGGTCCTAAAAATACTGAGTAAAAACTGAGCACCTAGGTGGCTCAGTCAGTTAAGTGTCTGCCTTCGGCTCAGGTCATGATCCCAGGGTCCTGGGATCAAGTCCCCCATCGGGCTCCCTGCTCGGCAGGGAGCCTGCTTCTCCCTCTGCCTCTGCTCCTCCCTGCTCGTGCTCTCTCTCTCTCTCTCTCACTCTCTCAAATAAAATCTTAAAAAAAATTGTGTCCAAATTCAAATTCTCTACCCTGCAAAATGATAATACAAGGGGTCAATAAAAAGTAACTTCTCAAGTACACTTTCTCCAAAAGCGGTTAGAGAATACTCTGCTGAAAGGATGGTGGACACCAAGAAAGAAGAAGACAAGAGAATGATGATGGCAAGTCAAGTACGGTGGGTGTGCAGCAGGGCTGAAGAACAACCACGCCACGTGTGGAAGAAGAGGACAGAGCATCCACAGGAGGAAGGCTCCTACAGACTAAATATTGATAGGATCTGTCAGACCTTTTAGAGCGTGGAAATAATTAGTCATGAGTACATAAAAAACCAAGCTAATGAAAAATAACTCTGAGAAAAACAAAGGTTTCATGAGAAAATCCAAAATCCTATACACCACTATGCCACCTGGCTCAGCACAGAACAGTATGTACATTGTCATAATAACCTAAACACTGATTACGGATTTAACCAATTGATGATCTTGGTCCATATTTCTTTATATTAAGTTGGGTCCCAAAAGCTCTGTGAAGTTAGATTTTTGCACATTTGCAGCAACATCATCTGATGGCAAAACCTGACCTGAACTCACATGAGTTTATTTATAGTCTTTATTTATCCCACTTGGTACCCATATTCATATGGTTTGTTGCAGAAATGTAATGTGTTTCATTACAGAGTGTTGCCTCAGACTCCACTGGAGGCATTAAGTAATCCATGGCATATGACTGTATTACATTTCCAAAGTCCTCCAGATTCTGGATTGGAAACCTTTCTGGCCTCAAGGGTTTGGAAAAGGGATTGAGGAACCTGAATAAGTATATTGAGAAGACAGGGGTGGGGAGCGAGGGTACATCCAGCAGGGAAGAAAATGCTATGTAGGAGAGCAAATTTCTCAACCGGAGAGTGACGAAAATAATAGTATGACAATTTTGTATCAAAATATGTAGGTAAGTGGGGTGCCTGGGTGGCTCAGTCGTTAAGCGTCTGCCTTCAGCTCAGGTCATGATCCCAGGGTCCTGGGATCGAGCTCCGCATTGGACTCCCAGTTCCGCGGGAAGCCTGCTTCTCCCTCTCCCACTCCCCCTGCTTGTGTTCCCTCTCTCGCTGTGTCTCTCTCTGTCAAATAAATAAATAAAATCTTTAAAAAAAAATATGTAGGTAAGTAACGGAAGAAGTCCCTAATGGAGTGGAGAGAGAAAGCCTTTGGGGAGCAGTCTAGGACAGGAATGGGTGTCATGGGGGGGGGGGTTACTATTTTTCATTAGAAGTCTTAAAAAAAAAAGTCTTTTTATCATTATGTGATGTTGTAAATTATGTCTTATTTTGATGGAAAAGAAAAATAATTAGAAAAAATAGGGATGCCTGGGTGGCTCAGTTGGTTGGGTGTCTGCCTTCGGCTCAGGTCATGATCCCAGGGTCCTGGGATCGAGTTCCGCATCGGGCTCTTTGCTCAGTGGGGAGTCTGCTTCTCCCGCTGCCACTCCCCCTGCTTGTGCTCACTCTCTCTCTCTGACAAATAAATAAATCTTAAAAAAAAAAACTGGAAAAAATCAAGCCTCCTGCCCTCAGGAACGCACAGGTTAAAAAGAAGATAAAATCAGTATCCACTTCTCCTTGTCTAGTTAAAGATACACAGCCCAGTAAAAGTTTCATATCTATTTCAAATATCGGGGGAGAAAAGGATGTCCAGATATTAAGTCTAAATACTCAGCTCAGAGGGGCTCCATAGATGCACGTGAATTAACCATGTTCAGAATCTCACCAACGGCCAAGTACCTAGCCATTTGAAAAAAAAAAAAAATCCAGATAAAAATATAAAAATTCTTTCTGAGGGGCACTGAGTAGGAAATCTAAGCAGGCTGGTCCTTTATGCTCACTTCTACAGTTCAATTTCATCACATAAACATAAGGCTTCCAAGACCATCCTGGGCTGTTTTAGCATGGGCATGCTAATGAAGTTTGTGACATTAAGTACACTTTGTCTATTTATTGTTGCATGAGGTTTTTTTTAAGTGCCTATCTCTGAATCCTTCTATTTGGAGGCATTCAGGAAATTACAGATGAGCCTCAAGCTTTACTTACATGCATATACTGGTGTGTGCGTATACACGTAACGTGCTAATAAGTAAGAGCGGCATTGGTGGTCACCACTTTGTCTTTACTGGCTATCAAGGCAGGGCCACATCATTGGTAAGGTGCCACAATTCTAATGGGAGCTGCCACTTTTTTTTAAATTTAATTTTATTTTATTATGTTAGTCACCATACAATACATCATTAGTTCTTGATGTAGTGTTCCAGGATTCATTGTTTGCATATAACACCCAGTGCTCCATGCAGAACGTGCCCTCCTTAATACCCATCACCCGGCTAACCCATCCTCCCACCCCCCTCCTCTCTAGAACCCTCAGTTTGTTTTTCAGAGTCCATAGTCTCTCGTGGTTCGTCTCCCCCTCCAATTCCCTCTCCCCATTTTTCCCTTCCTCCTCCTAATGTCCTCCATGCTATTCCTTATGTTCCACAAATAAGTGGAACCATATGATAATTGATTTTCTCTGCTTGACTTATTTCACTTAGCATAATCTCCTCCAGTCCCATCCATGTTGATGTAAAAGTTGGGTATTCATCCTTTCTGATGGCTGAGTAATATTCCATTGTATGTATGGACCACATCTTCTTTATCCATTCATCTGTTGAAGAGCATCTCGGCTCTTTCCACAGTTTGGCTATTGCAGACATTGCTGCTATGAACATTGGGGTGCATGTGGCCCTTCTTTTCACTACATCTGTGTCTTTGGGGCAAATACCCAGGAGTGCAATTGCTGGGTCATAGGGTAGCTCTATTTTTAAATTTTTGAGGCACCTCCACACTGTTTTCCAAAGTGGCTGTACCAACTTGCATTCCCACCAACAGTGTAAGAGGGTTCCCCTTTCTCCACAACCTCTCCAACATTTGTTGTCTCTTGCCTTGTCAATTTTTGCCATTCTAACTGGTGTAAGGTGGTATCTCAGTGTGGTTTTGATTTGAATTTCCCTGATGGCTAATGATGATGAAAACTTTTTCATGTGTCTGTTAGCCATTTGTAGGTCTTCTTCAGAGAAGTGTCTGTTCATGTCTTCTGCCCATTTTTTGAGATGACTGGGAGCCCTGCTGAGGGGCGCACAACCCAGGACACTGCAGTTTATAGCAGCACGGACAGAAACGGAGACGGTGTGGCCTGGAGAGCTCACTAAAGAACAGACTGCGATCTCTCTGCTCTGAGGCAGAGGGTTGGAAATGATCTCTTCTGCTTTGACTCTCGGAAGAAGCCTCCAGAGAACAAAAGCCCCCCAAAACCGGTTCCCACTGAGCCCATCACCCCCCCACAGGGGACAGGGCAACTCTGCCCAAACAGGGTTGCCTGAGTAACAGCGCAGCAGGGCCCTCCCCCCCGAAGACAGGCTGGGAGAACAAGAGGCCGACAACCTTAAGGTCCATATAAAACGGGTGCATCTCGCTTGGGTTGTGGTCAATAATTTGGACTCTGTACATTCCCTCAACCACCCCTCAACAGAATGACTAGGAGGAGGAACCCCCAAAATAGGAAAGACTCAGAGACTGACTTCTGCCACAGGTTTACAAATGGATATGGATATAACCAAGATGTCAGAGATGGGCTTCAGGGTAACAGTTATGAAGACGATAGCTAGAATGGAGAAATCGATTAATGGTAACACAGTCTCTAAGGGCAGAAATGAAAGCTGAACTGGCAGAACTTAAAAATGCTATCAATGAGATCCAATTTAATCTAGATAATCTAACAGCTAGGGCAAGTGAGGCGGGAGCTGCCACTTTTAAAACTGGTCAGTTACTTTCTATGCTTTAGTTAAAAAAACATTCTGTGAAAATGTGTCCACTTTCTCTAGTAAATAGCGGAAAGGCAGGCTGTGTGTGCAGGAGTCGTGAGTGTGGGCTTCAGGGTCAGACACACCTGGGTTCGAATCCCTGCCCTGTCATTTACCAGAGGTGTGTCCTTGCCAAGCTGCTCTCTCCCACTGTGCCTCAATTTGCTCTTCGTAAATTGGGAATGGGAATGGTGCCTCCCAGGAAGCCAGGTCTCAATCTTGGTACTGTTGACGTCTGGGGTTGTTAGGTAACTCTTCGATGGGGTGGGGGTCTGTCCTGTACCCCAAAGGATGTTTAGCGGCATATGTGGCTTCTCCCACTGGATGACAATACCACCCCTCACCCAGCTGTGACAATCCAAAATGTCTCCAGACACTGCCAAACGTCCCCTGTGGAAGAAGTGTAAAATCACCAAGAACCTCAGCATTGACCTTTCAAATACATTAAAAACCTCCATCATTCACCCTTGGGAAGGTTTTCATAAATTAATGCATGCAGATTGATTAGCACATGTAGACACTTGATAAGCACAAAAAGAATACTGGATTTTATACTATTATCTCAATTGTATGTACTGATCATAGGGAAAGGGAGACACAGTAGGAGAAGAATATGTCAGAAAGAACAAATAGATCTCAGAGAGTTTCTCACATTATAGAAAGCCAACACTTAAAGGGGCTTTAGAGATTATTTTTTAGAGGTCATTTTTAAAATACAGATGAGAAAACCAAAGTCAAAAGGTCAAGTGGTAGGCGAAGTTCATTAAGGAAGATGGTGAAGAAAACAGGATAGAAACACATAGCTCTGAACTGGTTCTCTGTACCATATTTAATACCATGCAGCATGCTACCTACCACCTATGGCTTTATGGCTGGAGACTAGCTTATCTCTTGTGGAAGATTAAGATGAGAAAAAAAAAAAAAAACTGGTATAATAGAAATGCCCTCTCCTCCTTTCCGTCCAAAATTAAATATGGGGTAAAGAGGAGGGCAAACTCTTATGGCAATGTCAGCTTCTATTCTGAACCAGGAATAGGCCAACTCACCGTTTGCTTTCAGCCATTTTTTGGAATGAAGGTAACTCTCCAGCATCCTTTCATTAAACAGCATGTAACCCATCGGTTCAGAAATGATCACATCCACAGCCTCAGGAAGAGAGATGTCTTCAATTTTCCCTGGCACAACAATGATCTTGTCGGAAAGGTGGTTATTTTTCACCAGCATCTGAAGAAGATAAAACAGGGGGCTAGGACTGTTACACAGACTTTTACAAAAAAATAAGTTTTACAGATTAAGGGTTGACATAGTGATAGGGATGAGAGGGAGGTGACAGATCTGTGTTTATAAAATGCTTTAAATTTATTTTTCTTTTTGTACACATATTTCATGTTGACTATACATAACTTAGAAGATACACATATAAAAGAAATAAAAACACCTATAACTGTACCACCTACAAATAATAACTATATTAATGTATTTGATGTATACCCTATATTTGATGTATACCACTCCAGACTCTTTACACAAACACACACGTGTGTGTGGATGTGGGTGAGTGAGTCTGTATTGTCTGTGCATGTGTGTATATATATGTGCATGTACCTTTGGGGAACTGTTTTTTAATTAACGGTTTTAGTTTATTTCCCATCATTCTACCTGGAATGAAGATGCCAAAAAGCACTGAACAATAATCTTGCACAAATTAATGATCCTGATCCTCATTAAATTATCCTTTGGTCTTCTGATTCCAAAAATAAATAATAGTATGTTCATTAACCTTTCTTTAGAAGCATATTTTACAGTTATGTACTCATTTTTCTTTGATGTCCTCTGCATTCTATTTAATAACTTTGAATTCCCTTAAAACTGGGACCTTGAAGAGATATGTATTTATTACATTTCTAATATATTTCTTCTTAATGCCAGATATGACAAAGAAATTGCATTATTACATTTATGTCTTTCTACTGCCTGAAAAATATTTCCTAATAAACATCTTGAACGCACCAGCATAAATATATACAGCACACTACTGTTCAAGTTGTGGCTCCCTGAGACTCTTAGATGTTTGCTCATTGTATTTATACACAGAGACCTTCCATTTTGCACTTTCATAACTTGATCCCTTTCTTCATCATAAATGCAGCATATCATGCATTTGTCATGAGTCAGTTGTATCTTTTCCATTTCTGATCACTTCTTCACAGAGCTAGGGTACCTTCCACCTTGAGCCTCTCCTTCTAGGGTGCTGCTCACCAACATATGCCCCATAAGCCTATACTTTTTAAAAAAAGAAATGAATTAGGGCGCCTGGGTGGCTCAGTCGGTTAAGCGACTGCCTTCGGCTCAGGTCATGATCCTGGAGTCCCGGGATCGAGTCCCGCATCGGGCTCCCTGCTCGGCGGGGAGTCTGCTTCTCCCTCTGACCCTCCTCCCTCTCATGCTCTCTGTCTCTCATTCTCTCTCTCTCAAATAAATAAATAAAATCTTTAAAAAAAATAAAAAATAAAAAAATAAATGAATTAATCTCTGATCTAAGGAAAAACAATGGAAGAATACTGTTTGAACATGTCATGCACTGTCAACCTTGACCCATGCCCAAAGACTCTCGGAATTCCGCTCTATCATCTTTCCACACATGGAGGTCTAGTTCATAGGGCTTGTGGGGTTCTCCCCTGTGGAGACAAAGACTAAAGGTTAAAGTTTTTGGCACCCTGCTCTTCTCAGGAGGATCCACTCATTTGCATAGCTCTACTGGGGCTCCAATGTAGATGAGCACCCAAACTACATCCTTACGTTCTGTCTCACCTGAGCTCCATCATCACTGGACATTTCCACCACCATGCTTTGTCATCTCAATATCAACAAGTAAAGATCCTGCCTCAGATTCTTCTTGAAAACTAACCATTCCTCTAGGCCTTCTTAAAACTTCTACAGAATCTTGTATTTCCTTGATTCTGTTTTGATCACAAATACGATAATCCTCAATATCCTGGGAGCACAGTTGTTTCCCACAGACAATTAGTAACTATGTTTTCTTATTTCTGCCTTCCAGATAAGTCTCATTTCCACCTTTTGCTTGCTGCCTGCATCAACTTGTCCAGTTCTTAATAGCTTCAAATATGGAATTTTAAAATAGCACTTATATAATTAAAAGAATAATAGTAGTTCCTACTTCATAGGCCTGCTTGAGGATAAAACAAGATGAAGCATATTAAGAGCTATGTAAGTTAAAATTATTATTGTCTATTATTTTTATTAAAGAACACTAAATACTAAAAAAGGGAAATGCAGATGAGCAAAAACATGAAAATAAAGATCATTTGTATTGCCCTATCCAAATGTAGGGAAAGTATATTCCTTAGCAGACATGTGAGTATATCTCTGTTTATAAAAATGTGTAATATTTTGTTTGACAGCTTGAGATATTTGACCTGGGGGTTCAGGCCACAGTAGATCCTGACTAGCTCCCATGGGGACGAAGGACATTGGTATCTCAGTCCTGGCATACCTCTTGGGAAGTTCTGTGTTAAATACCATTCCATAAAGTTTTTTACAACACAATTTCTACCAGCCTTATGGTATTTCATAAAAATACCTTGATTCATTTAATCAACACCATGTTACTGGACATTCAGGTTATATTAAAGTTTCCATTATGACAATAGTGCATTGACAAATAATGAAGTTAAATATGGAAACATACTTCCATGCTTCCTTCAAATTTAGAGTATGGAAATTTTAAACATTTCCGATACACATTGCTCCATTACCTGCCACAAAGGTATTCCACTTCTAGATTTTAAGCCCTTTCTAAATTCTGCTTGTGGGGTATGAGACTGTCCACAGGTCAGTATATAAAACTGCCTCATCCCCTTGGACCAGAATGCTAGAAGGGGAGCTTTTCTAAGTTTTGCTGGAGGGACCAATATGAAATGATATCCAAGTGAACATGATATTACTCTATATGGCTAATTTACAGAAAATAATCCTAGGCTACTGAACCCTCAGGAACCTCAGAGATATAACAAGGCTTTAGAGAGGATTGTATGAGCTGTCAGAAGGGCAATTTGGGATTCAAAGGAAAGAATTTTGAGCCTCATTATTTTCACTGGCAAAGAAGGAAATACCATGTTTATGGAAGTGGGCAAATAGGCCTGGCTGTAAGTCACTGCATCATGTGACTTCATTTACTGCGGGCCAGATTCAAAGAACACCAGATCAGGAATCTGAAGATACGAATTCTAGTTCTGCCTTTACCACCAAAAAGCTGTGTGACCTTGGGAAAGTCACTTAAAACCTATAAATTCTGGTCTCCCTCCTTGCAAAATTAAAGTTTAAAACTGGAGTTGTTCTCAGGCTCCTTCGAGAGCTAACATTTTATGACTGGAAGAAAGCCAAATTTCCCCCAATATATTGCTGGAGTCCACAAACATAAGAGCTTCATGATCAAATAATTTTGAAACTTCTCTATAATATATATCCCTCTTACAATTCAGAATCCATTAGCATATTAATTGCTTTGAAGAATTTTGCAGAAAAGAAAACTTTAATTTGGTTAAATCAAAGACGTGCGATCTTATTTGGTTACTTTGCAGTTCTTTTTTTTCACTGAGCATTTATTTATCTCCTGCAAATCAATCTTTGGGAAACAAGGAAAGGAGTTTATTTGATAATCGTAAGTTCGAATATAATTCTTTGACAAAGATGTCTGAAAACAGGACATATACTCAACCAATAATAGCTCTAAGCCATGAGAATAGCTAATTCTGGATATCAGACACACTCTATTCCTAGAGTCAATGTTGCTGCCTTCCTTCACTTTTAGTTTATAACATTCTCGGTACAGATAGTTTTGTGCTAGCCTGTCACTTCATACACCATTGTTCCAAAACTGAAACTCTCTAGAACGATCCTTTCCAGGAAAAAAATGAGCCTCAATACATCCCTCTAAGTGCTGAAAAAGGCCGCTAACTCAGAGGAGGGCTCCATCACCCACCATGTTCACTGCTGTACAGATTTTCCCTGTGTGACCTGGTCCTTCTCTGAGAGTTCAGGAAAGAGGGAGGCTCCACTAAAGTCTCTTCTCCCTGAACACCATCAAGTTACAAGCAAACCCACATCACATCCTTTTTTTTACTCCTGTTTCCTTGTAATTACAATGGGTTTCAAAAACCTGTCAATAGTTCTGTCACTTGTATCAGTTGCTTAAGCTACGCACACACACACACACGTGTGTACACAGACGTGCACACACACCATGCAGGCACGCTCAAGTGCACGCACACGCACACACGTGTGTACACAGACGTGCACACACACCATGCAGGCACGCTCAAGTGCACGTGCACACACATGCAGGCACGCTCATGTGCACGCACACACACGTGTGTACACAGACATGCACACACACCATGCAGGCACGCTCAAGTGCACGCACGCACACACACGTGTGTACACAGACGTGCACACACACCATGCAGGCACGCTCAAGTGCACGCACACACACACGTGTGTACACAGACATGCACACACACCATGCAGGCACGCTCATGTGCACGCACATGCACACACGTGTGTACACAGACACGCACACACCATGCAGGCATGCTCAAGTGCACGCATGCACGCACACACACGTGTGTACACAGACGTGCACACACACCATGCAGGCACGCTCAAGTGCACGCACACACACGTGTGTACACAGACGTGCACACACATGCAGGCACGCTCATGTGCACGCACACACACGTGTGTACACAGACATGCACACACACCATGCAGGCACGCTCAAGTGCATGCACACACACACGTGCACATGATGCATAGACATGCACACACTTTAGGTGGTGGCAGCAGTAGAATCCATCCTTTTAGTATCACTGTAACTTCCAAGGTAGCTCAGGGTAATAATTTCACTTGGTATTGCTGCCATTCTTGTCTCACTTAGGAGCTTTCTCATTGAGTTACATGTGTTAAATATGTGTTGTTTATTTGCCTGTTCAGCATGGAAGCTTATCTGGGCTTAGAAGCTATACTACAAGAGAGTATTATATTATATTCTGTCTCAAAGAGGAGGAAAGAGCAAGTGTTAGGCTTGGGTGCTAGTGTTGGATTCTTCACCGAGTAGCTGTATGACTGTGGCCAAGACACATAATTTCTTGGAAGTCCTTTTATTATTTTTCTATAAAATGAGAACAATAATAGCACCAATCTCT